CGGCAGCGCTCGGCGGGGACCGAACAGCCCACTCATTCGACGCCGCGTCGCGCGGCGACGCGGCCGGGGGCCAACCGAGAGGCCTAGGCCACGCCCCGCGCAGCGCGACGACGCCCAGGGGCGCGAAGGAACGGGACGCCATGCACTCTGCTTGTGTCACGCGGCAGCACCGCGGAGGCCGGAAGCAAAGACTGCTCCATTCGACTCGTCACGCGGCAGCATTGCGTGGGCCGACAAGAAAAATATTCTGCCCTTGGCATCGCTCGGACGTGTGCATTCTTCCTTCGGCGAGGACCATCGAGGAGCAGCCTTGATCATATGGCTAAAAAACCACGCACGAAAATCAAGAAAGCACAGGGAATGGACGTCCGAGCGATGGCGAGTGCCACTCCACCTCGCCATGTGGCAACGCCTGGAGTCGAGAAAACAGCGCATTCCGCTGTAGTCATCACGTGGCAGCGCCGCGGGGGCAAAAACATGTATGCCACAACGACCTCGAGGACGACGACGACGACGATGACCAGGCCCAGGGAGGCGAACAAAAATTCTGTCCTATCCTCCTCGTCCCTCTCCCTCCCCCCCTTCCTTCTCCATCCTCCATCCTCCCCCATTATGCCACGACGGCGAAAATACTATCCTATCCTCGCCCTCCCTCCTCCCTCCCTCCCCCATCCCCCTCCTCCCTCCTCCCCTCCCCTCGTCTGCCCTCCCTCCTCGCTGCAGTGCATTGTGCTACTCCTCCTCCCTCTCCCTCCCCTCCCCCCCCTCCTCCCTCCTGCCCCCTCGCCCTCCCCCCCTCCTCCCTCCACAGTTCAGTGCCATGCAACGCAACGCAACGCCATGCAAAGCACTGCAGCGTAACGCAGTTCGCATGCAGACGCAGCGCACAACGCAACGCAATACGGTGATCGCCCGCCCGAGCGTTTGCGACACGGCGCCCGCCCGAACGCTTGCGCGCCCGCCCGCCCGCCCGCTCGCCCCTCCTCCGCGCGCGCCTCCCGTCCCAGTCCACTCCCCTCCACGCAGTGTTCCACCCCATCCACTCCTCCCTTTCGTTCCATCCCGTCCACTCCAGTCCATCCACTCCATGTCCATCCACTCCTCCCCCTCGATCCCATTCCATCCCTCTCGATCCCTTCCGCTCCATCCACTCCTCGCGTTCGTTCCATTCCGTCCGCGTCGCCGCCTCGTCGCCGCCTCGTCGTCCAGGCCTGGGTGCTGGTCTGGCGGCTCCGCGCTCGCCGTCGCCGGCCTGAACCGTCGCCCTGGATCTACATTGCACAGATCGCACCGCGTGGACTGCACAACACAGACTGCACCGCGTAGTGTGCACCGCACAGAGTGCACCACAGATATTGCACCAAGTAGACTGCACCACACAGATTGCACAACACAGAGTGCACCAATAGATCGCACCACATAGATTGCACAGCATAGACTGCACCACATAGGTTGCGTGACAGAGACTGCACAACATGCATTGCACAACAGTTAGTGCGCAAAACAGATTGCGCAACCTGTATTGCACCACATCGACCTGCGCCACACAGATTGCACATCATAGACTGCACCACATCGATCGCACAACATAGAGCGCTAGAAACACACTATTTGGGGGTCCACGCTCGTTGACATGTTTTCGAGTTGGATGTTGTGAGCAACGAGTACGGGCAGCGAGTCGAGCGTGCAGCGCCAAGGATGCAATCTTAATTGCTGAACAGTTGTCAGAGCTTCGGCAGTGAGAGCTATTGGATCGATAGGCCTGAGGTGGGCATTGCCTCGAACTGCAACCTTGGGCTGCAGAGTTGTGGCCTGACCCGCCGGCAGTGCAGCTGGATTGTTGGAGTTGTTTCGCTTGTGATCGAGGTTCGGCATGGAGCGCTCGATCGGTACGTGCGTTGCTGCCCAGTATGCGCGTATCGCGCATAGACCAGCAATAGTTTCATTGAGGTCCGCGAGTCGAGCGTGTGCGACAGAGATGTAATCTGAATTGCTGAACATGTGTCAGAGCTTCGGCAGTGAGAGCTACGGGATCGATAGGCCTGAGGTGCACATTGCCTCGAACTGCGACCGTGGACTTCAGAATCGTGATTTAGCCGCTGGCAGTGCAGCTGGATTGCTGGAGTTGTTTCGCTTGTGATCGACGTTCAACACTGAGCGCTCAATCGGTATGTGCGTTGCTGCCCAGTATGCGCGTATCGCTCATAGACCAGCAATGGTTGCATTGAGGTCCGTGAGTCGAGCGTGAAGCGCCAAGGATGCAATCTGAATTGCTGAACATTTGTCAGAGCTTCGGCAGTGAGAGCTACGGGATCGATAGGCCTGAGGTGCGCATTGCCTCGAACTGCGACCGTGGACTTCAGAACCGTGGCCTGACCCGCCGGCAGTGCAGCTGGATTGTTGGAGTTGTTTCGCTTGTGATCGAGGTTCGACACTGAGTGCTAGATCGGCATCACGCATAGACCAGCAATAGTTTGATTGAGGTCCGCGAGTGGAGCGTGCAGCGCCAGAGATGCAATCTGAATGTTGCTGAACATTTGTCAGAGCTTCTGGATCGATAGGCCTGAGGTGGGCATTGCCTCGAACTTCAACCTTGGGCTGCAGGACCGTGATCTGCCGTGCCGGCTGGTCAGCCACCTTGTTGCAGTTGTTCCCGCTTCTGATCCAGGTTCAGCATTGAACGCTCGATTGGTACGTGCGCTGCTGTCCAGGATTCGCTTGCCGCGCACAGGCCAGCAATAGTTATGGTTGGATGTAGCGAGCATCGAGTGAGGGCCGCGAGTCAAGCGTGCATCGCCAAGGATGCAACCGTAACCCTGAGAAGCAATTCAGAGCCCCCTTCCCCTCTCCGGCGAAAACATAACGCTCCAGCACCCTAAAGGCATGACCTTAACACCTCGCAACCTGCTTTGAGCACAGACGAGTCTGCTCGCCGAAACAAGGAAACCGTCTGAAACATTCTCGCAATCTGGCCTCCGTGTGGTTCTGAGACAAGCGACAGTAGCACGAGTGAGGAGGGAATAGCAATATCTAGGAATCCTACAGATTCCCATTGGGATACCGGCCGAGCCAAGGCGCGGGAATTATTTATGTTCCTTTCTTTAGCGCGGTGCTAAAGATATCGTTCCGCGAATACCGCCCCCAGGAATGATTTTATTTACGGTGCTGTGCTAACGATAACCCCGGGGGGGTCTTAATTGCTTACTGCAGTTAATTGCTGAACATTTGTCAGAGCTTCGGCACTGAGAGCTACCGGATCGATAGGCATGAAGTGGGCATTGCCTCCAACTGCATTCTTGACTTTCACAACCGTGATCTGTCCCGCTGGAAGTACAGCTGGATTGTTGGAGTTGTTTCGCTTGTGATCGAGGTTCGACACTGAGCGCTCGATCGGTACTTGCGTTGCTGCCCTGGATGCGCGTACCGCGCGTTGACCAGCAATGGTTTCGTTGAGGTCCGCGAGTCGAGCGTGCAGCGCCAAGGATGCAATTTTAATTGCTGAACATTTGTCAGAGCTTCGGCACTGAGAGCTATTGGATCGATAGGCCTGAGGTGCGCACTGCCTCGAAGTGCATTATTGGGCTGCAGAGCTGTGATTTGACGCGCTGGCAGGGCAGCTGGATTGTTGGAGTTGTTTCGCTTGTGATCGAGGTTCGACACTCAGCGCTCGATCGACGTGCGTTGCTGCGCGTATCGCGTATAGGCCAACAATGTTTCGTTGAGATCCGCGAGTCGAGCGTGCAGCGCCAAGGATGCAATTTTAATTGCTGAACATTTGTCAGAGCTTCGGCACTGAGAGCTATTGGATCGATAGGCCTGAGGTGCGCACTGCCTCGAAGTGCATTATTGGGCTGCAGAGCTGTGATCTGACGCGCCGGCAGGGCAGCTGGATTGTTGGAGTTGTGTCGCTTGTGATCGAGGTTCGACACTCAGCGCTCGATCGACGTGCGTTGCTGCGCGTATCGCGTATAGACCAACAATGTTTCGTTGAGATCCGCGAGTCGAGAGTGCAGCGCCAAGGATGCAATTTTAATTGCTGAACATTTGTCAGAGCTTCGGCACTGAGAGCTATTGGATCGATAGGCCTGAGGTCCGCACTGCCTCGAAGTGCATTATTGGGCTGCAGAGCTGTGATCTGACGCGCCGGCAGGGCAGCTGGATTGTTGGAGTTGTTTCGCTTGTGATCGAGGTTCGACACTGAGCGCTCGATCGACGTGCGTTGCTGCGCGTATCGCGTATAGGCCAACAATGTTTCGTTGAGGTCCGCGAGTCGAGCGTGCAGCGCCAAGGATGCAATTTTAATTGCTGAACATTTGTCAGAGCTTCGGCACTGAGAGCTATTGGATCGATAGGCCTGAGGTGTTCATTGCCTCGAACTGCGACCTTGGGCTGCAGAGCTGTGATCTGACCCGCCGGCAGTGCAGCTGCATCGTTGTTGGGGATAAACAGGTGGAGCATCGATTCGTTGGTATCCTTTCTCTGCTCGAGGGAAGACAGCATCTTGAGTCAGCATGGCGCTGGAAGGCGCAGGAGGAGGCAGAGGAGGACAGAGGCAAGAGTAGGAGAACGAGGAGGGCGAGGATGACGAGGGTCATTGAGCATGATGAAGATCGAAGAAGAAAAAAACAAAACATAAACAAAACGTTTTGGCGCTCCGCGCGGATTTCTTGGGTCCGCGTTGGGTGCCCTTGGCGGCGCCTCCGACGCCGCCCTTGGCGCGCTCCGCGCGCCACTGCGGGGGGTCCCGAGCGGATCCAAGAAACCCGCGTGGAGCGCCAAAAGTTGATGGTTATGCCGTGTCTTTCTCCTCCTGAGAGAGCTCAGGAGGGAAAAAACACAGACACAATTAATCGTCGATCCCCCAGAAAATATGGGAAAATATGGGAAGTGGGGGGGAAAACAAAAACCCAGAAAATATTTGAAAATATGGGGAATCTTTTTATTTGTGTGTACTTATTTGTGTGTCCTGGGGCCCCTTCAAGAGCGGCGGGCGGCGGCAGGACTACGACTGCCGCACCAGCCTCTGCTACTGCTGCTGCTGGTGCGCGTGCGCGTACGTCTTCCTGCGGGACGAGCTGCTGCTGCTGGAGCGCGCGCCCAGCACGATGTCCTTCATGACGCTGCCCTCGGTGCCCCCTCCTCCTCCTCCTCGCTCCTCCTCGCTCCTCCTCGCTCCTCCTCGCTCCTCGCTCCTCCTCCTCCTCCTCCTCCTCCTCCTCCTCCTCCTCCTCCTCCTCCCCGGGCCCCGCCACCCTGGGGGGTCGGGTCGGGGCCGGCCGCGCGCGGGAGTGCCTCGTAGCTCGAGTGACTTTGTTTGTCCAGACGCAATGCATCGTCGATCCTCAGGAAATAGGGGAACATGTGGGAAGTGGGGGGGAGACAGAAACCCAGAAAGTATGGGGAAATAGGGGGAATCCTGTTGTTTGTGTGTATTGATTTGTGTATTAATTCCTGGGTTCTAAGAGCATTCCGCGGTAGGCCTGTAGGAATGCCGGGACGGTCGGTCCCTGCTGGACAGTCCCCCTCTGATCGGCCCAGTATTCAATGACAGTGGCCTCTCGCCAGAGCGACCTCTGGTGCGCGGCGCCGGTGGAGGAGGCGGAGGGCGCGGGGGAGAGCCGGCCGCGAGCGCGCGCTTGTGCGGCTCGATCGGCGCAGTCAAGTCGCTCTTGCCATTGAGGTCCGTCCTGCGTGCGGCCTCGTGAGGTTCCGACCTACTTCAGGAGGGGAACAAAGCACACAGGCACAGTGAATCGTCGATTCCCCTGAAAGTATGGGAACATAGGGGAAGTGGGGGGGGGAGACGAAACCCCAGAAAGTATGGGAAAATATGGGGAGCCCTGCGATTTGTGTCTATCGATTTTTGTGTCCCAGGGCCCCTTCACTACTTTCTCCTTGAGCACCAGAAAGAAACTCGAGCACCAAGAAAGTACCGACATTCGAGGGTCTTCGCGTGTCGGGCCCTGGGAGATACTCGCCCGACGCTGTTTCGACACTCCTGCGGCACTTTTCCGGGTGCTCGAAATTATGTCCGGGATGCGGTCCTTAAGAACGATCTCTTCCTCCTCCTCCCCCTCCTCCTCCTCCACCTCCTCCTCCTCCTCCTTCTTCCCCTCCTCCTCCTCCTCCTCCTCCTCCTCCTCCTCCCTCCTCCTCCTCCTCCTCCTCCTCCTCCCTCCTCCTCCTCCTCCCCTCCCCCTCCCCCTCCTCCTCCTCCTCCTCCTCCTCCTCCTCCTCCTCCTCCTCCTCCTCCTCCTCCTCCTCCTCCTCCTCCTGGGAGCAACATGAGTGTAGCCGAGTTCGGGAGTTCCCTCGTGGCAGGCCCAGGCCGACGACGGCGGCGCTTCCCCGAGCGGGCGCCGGGGAGGCTGCGGCCGCTGCTGCCCCCCTCCTCCTGGCTCAGGAGGGGAAAAACACACAGACACACTTTATCGTCGATGTCCCAGAAAAGATGGGAAAATATGAGAAGTGGGGGGGGGAAGACAAGAACCCAGAAAATATGGGGAAATATGGGAAACCATGTTAGTTGTGTGTATTTGTTTGTGTGTTTGTGGGCCCCTTCACTGGTGCGCCGATCCAGGTGCCGCCCTCCTCTGCACACGGGGCGTTCCACAAGGGGGTGGCCTCGCCCTCGAGGAGTCGAGGCGCCGGCGAGTTCGGCAGAGATGAGGCGAGGGTTGGTTGCCAACGGAAGCTCGAGATAGGTTTAAGTCGGGCCTGTCCCTCTACAGGATGAATACTCAAAAATAGTGAAAAAATAGTCCGGGGACCATTGTTTGAGCATTTTTCTGATATGTTTGAATATGTCTTGCGGTTGTTTAATTTTTCCCCAAAAATCCTCGTGTAGGGGGACGTGCCCGACCTAAAGATAGGTCAGCGCTGGCATTTCAAATTGTTCAGTAGTTGGGCCCCCCCCTGCGCCGCTACGCTGGACGGCCCGTTCCAGTGTCCCCCCATGCGCGCCGAACCCACCCTCTAACGTGATCCCCCCCACACACGCCCAGCGCGGGACAGGCTCATTCAACCCTACCGCTCAAGCAGTGGCGAAGCGTCCTGGCTCGCCTACAGGCCCACCAAAGAATGTTCTAAGAACCTTTTGCGGTCTGCACGAAAGGCTCTTAGAACATTTCTGGCTGGGACTGTCTTATTTGAACACGTCGGGCTTCTGTTCTAAGAACATTTGTTGATGTTATTAGAACACTTTCTGGGATTCTAGGAACAGTCCGTGGTAGGCCAATAGGAATGCGGGGACGGTCGGTCCCTGCTCAAGCCACGCGATCCAAGCCCCCCGCTTCTTGAGCAATACGCGGAGTGCGTTCGGGGCGCCGGCCGCCTGGAAAGAATCAGCCCCCCCCCCCGGGGGAGGCACAGGCTTCCGGCGGGACGGTCAAGCGTTGACGTCTGAGCAGCTCAGGCCGCACCCTCAGGGATGGCCTAAAGCCGTTGCTCAGAGCCCCGAATCATCAGGGGTAACTCGGGTCAGGGCTACCTCGGGTTCGCTTTTCGGGAATCCAAACCCGATTTACCCCGGACCCGAGTTACCCTGGATAACTCGGGCGTCCAGAACCCCGAATCATCAGGGGTAACTCGGGTCAGGGCTAACTCGGGTTCCTTTCTCGGGAATCCAAACCTGAGTTACCCCGGACCCGAGTTCCCCCGGATAACTCGGGCGCCCAATTGACGTCTGAGCAGCTCAGGCCGCACCCTCAGGGATGGCCTAAAGCCGTTGCCGGTCCGCCTGGCCGAGCTGGCGTCGAAAGTGCTCTGGTATCAGATTCTCGCCCTCGCGCCTTCACGCTCGCGAAGGTGCCGCGGCCTGAGTCCCGGACGCGGCGGCGACCTTCAGGAGGAGGCCTCAGGAGGAGCAAGCGGCAGGGACATGGAGTTCTCCTTCCCACCTCCCGCATCCAATTGCCCCCCCCGTTCTCCTGACATTCCAGGGGGGCAAGATAGCACCAAGACCTGTAAAGTCAAACTCCAGTCGAGTTTTCAAGCAGGCATGATGGGTCTAAAGATCCAGCACTCTGGAAGGTCAGGGTCGCCCTGCTCCACC